TATAGAGCCATAGCTGTTTCCTCTGCTATGTCAAAAATATTCAAGAGTCTTTTATTACAGAAAATCATTATGTACAACATTGATAAAAATGATGATTACCAATTTGGCTTCGAACAAAATCACTCAACAATGTCATGCTCAAACTATGTAATACTTGACTGTGTAATACTGTACATCTAGGGAAAGCCATTTATTTGCTTGTTTCACAGACTTTAATAAAGCATTTGACAGTGTCAATTACTGGCTGTTGTTTCAGAACATACTAGATAATGGTTTACACAAAAAACTTGTTTGTTTGCTTGCATTTTAATATAGTAATCAAAAATGTCTGTTCGATGGCAGAAAACAAAATCAAATAGTTTTGGAGTTGGATATGGGGTTAGTCAAGTTTATTGTTGCCACTTCTATTTCACTTTTACATATAAAATTTAATTTTATTAATCTCAAACCTACATATTGGATCTAATATAGGTGGCATCTTCATGAATGTGTTGGCTTACGCTAATGATATGGTTCTAATTGCACCTTCTTGGTTTTCTCTTCAAAAACTAATTATCTTTACAAATAAGGAATCTTCTTTAACATTAATTAAAATTACTTTAATAAAAAACATTAAATGAAATTAAAATGTCCTTTAATACCAAAAAAACTGTATGTATGGTGTTTAATCCAACTCAAAAAGCAAAAATTATATCAAACTCCTTCCCAGAATTAAGCGCAACATGCTGTAATATTGCTTTTGTTAAATCTTTTAAATACCTTGGTCATATTATTAAAAATGACTTAACTGATGATCTTGATATAACCAAGGAGGTAAAAGGTCTTTACACATGTACAAATATTCTAATTATATGCTTTCATTTATGGTCTATCAGAATAAAGGTGAAGTTGTTTGAATCATATTGCATTTGATTATATGGTGCTCCTCTGCAGCAAAATTATAATGATAAAACAATGGCATGCCTTCAGTATTACTACAACAAATGTGCTAAAATGTTTTTTGGTTACAACTAGTATGATAATATCTCTCATGCTTTTATAGCACAGATTACCATCTTTTTATACAATTATCTTAAAATACAGATATGCTTTTCGTATTCAGTTGATGGCTTTTACCTTAGTGAATAATTCTATGCATTCACTAAGTTAAATTTTAAAATAATATTTTTCTTTTAAAAACTATGGACCTGGCACTTAAATTTTATATGTCTGTTATCTGAAATATATTTATGATAATATATATTTATGACAATAATATATATATATATATATATATATATATATATATAAATATATATATATATATATATATATATATATATATATATATATATATATATATATACATATATATACATATATAATATTTATATATATATATATATATATATATATATATATATATATACATATATATATATATATATATATACATATATCTATATATATATATATATATATATATATATATATATATATATATATATATATATATATATATATATATATATATATATATATATATATAATTATATATATATATATATATATATATATTAAATTGTATATGCCTGTTGTCTGAAATATATTTATAATATATTTCAGACATACAATTTAATATATTTACTTCTGAACAGTTACACCATAACGCATTAAAAGTTTTAAAAAGTGGTTAATTAACTCAATTAATCTCAAAAAAGCTGGCTAGCAAAAATGATAGTTAGCCATTAATTTATAGAAAAAAATTTTTTTCTGTAGATATAAATAGTTCTATGGCTTTCCTGTGGAATCATATAACTTTAGGTTTATTGCAAAATACTATTCAGACAAAATCATAACTTTTTGACTTTATGCCTACATTTTTTTTTACTTTGTACCTACAAAATTCCATTCGTGCCTAAATTTTTTATTTTTTTCATGTAAGCATTGTCACAATCTTTTTTGTAAACTTATATTTTTTGTACCTTAACATTTCTGTTTTTGTTGATACAATGTACCTTTAAGTCCCTTTTACTAGGATGGGCCAAAGTCACCCCAACATGTGAGGTGACTTTAGCCCACCATACAAACCTTCTAAAAAATAGCTTAACCCAAAAAAAATGGCAAAAAAAAAAGTTACATTAAGGATCTTTTTGGGTTCTAAACTACCCCAAAAAGAAATAAAATTTTTATGTAGTTATAATTATTTTTTTACAAAACAAGTTATATATTTAAAAACATAAATAATTTCTTAATATTTTAAGATATTTAAATCAAATTAAAATTTAGTGTAAATGAGCGCTTATGAACAAAAAAACCTTTTTTTCTTTAGTTGAGAAACTTAAAAAAACAGAGGTACAATCAAAAATGGTTGATGGATTTAAAATATTCCGGTATTTATATATATAAATATATTTTAATACTTGTTTATGTATCTGCTACCAATATTATCGGCAATTGTTTTTTTATTATTGTTTATTATTATATAACTTATGCTCATATTTGAAGCCAGTCATTATGTGTAATAACTTATGCGCATATTTAAAGTCAGTCATTATACCTAAACATTTAAGACATAACAGTTAATAGTTGAAATTAAAGCAGTTTCGACTAAACTAGTTAATTGTTAAGATTGAAAGCGGTTTAAAACAATGCCTGCCAACTGGGTTAAAAATCAATATATTTATGTGTAATTGGCTGTACATTGGATTATGGGAAATCTTGCAGGACCATATTATAAACAACATAAATTTATTATACACCTTATTTTCTACTAAATTTATTATATATTATAACATTATTGAATCTTGCTTTTCAAGAATAAAGTTGCTTTCTCTCTGAACATTCGCAATATTAAATATGCCTTTTGCTCAGCCATCAGTTGTGTAAACAAGCATTGGAAGAATGTTGGAAATAATGTATTATTTTCTAGATTTCCAAACGATAAAGATAGATAAGTAATTATTAATCAAATCAGGTTTATTAAATAACTAGTATATCAAAAATTTAAAAAAGCTTTTAAAATACTGTTCAACTTTAAATTTTATGAAATGAAAAATATTTATACATAATATGATGTAAATAATTCCCCTAAATTTATTAGGTTTATTCTATTATTTAGATGCTAAAATTTGGGTTTGTAATTGTCATCAAGATATGTCGTCTCGATACAAAATCATGTGAAGAACTTAATATTAACTATACTATATGTAGTGAATTTTTTTATTCTTTCATATACTATCTTGCCAATAATGGTGGTTTTGTAAACTAAAAGCAGATGACAGAATGACAGACCAACAGCAATCCAATTTAAATCAGCATATAATGATGTCTTAGTACTCCTTTCAATAGAACAATCTAACTCTTACAATGATTGTCTCAAGTGTTGTTAACATTGACTCAATTACCAACATAGTCAATTACTAATATAGTATTTTTGACTCAATTACTCAACATAGTATTTTTGGGTTCAATCTCTACAAATAAACATTAGATTTTCAAACAACCAACTATATTATTTAAAAAGAAACTACAATCTTATGCATTACAAAATGTTTAAATTCAGTTTCACATTCAATTAAGCAGGTTTTGAAATCGATTGCAGATGGTTTCATAAAGAAAGCTCAAATCTGTCAAAATTTTGTACAAGTTCTTTCAAGTGTGACACACTGTGAAACTAATTATTTAATACTGATATTACAAAATCTTCTTTCAAAATGAAAACTGATTTTATAACTCAAATGAAGCTTTGTGACTATAATTAAAAAAAAAATTTGTACAACAAATTATTAAAGTAATAAAAAATAATTAAAATTTTACTATTTCTTTATGATAAAGATGTTGATCATGTCTTTCATTTGGAAGAAGGTTTAATCAGACATTTTTTATTAAAGAAAATTCTTGAAACAAGATATTTCTTAATTATAATTATTTTCCCTCTTGGTATTATTAACTATTTACTTAGCATCTAAATTAGGGGTAAAACATATAGGGTTTAAACATATATGATATATATATTTAAACTAATATGAAATGAATACAATGATAATGTGATGAAAAAGACTTATGCAAAACATTTTAAATTTATATCAAATTTTAACTGTGTTAACATATTAATGTTTGATAATATATAAGTTTATATAAGCAATGTTTACAAATTTTTAAATAATTTTTAAAAAAAAGTTTTAAAATTATTTTGAATTATAAAAGTAAAGGTTTTTTTTTTTTGGGAAGCCCTCTGTTATGATATTTGGTACTGCAAGACATCCCATAAGGTCTGCACCTAAAATTACATCCATTTATTGGGAGTTAGCAGGAATTGGTTTAGACTACACCAGTTAATAGTTAAAATTGAAAGCAGTTTAGATTAAACCAGTTAGGTTTTAGGTTGAAAAACTTGTTTTAAAAATTTTGAAATTATTTGAAAGATTCCCACAAACATAAAATAAATATTCCCACAAAAATAAAATAAAAAAATAGTTAACCTAGATCTATAAAGCCCTAATAATATGCCAATAAATCACTGCAGTCTGAAAATTCAATAGACTATAACGACATAACTATTTCAAAGATAAACTGCTAGTTGACTAATCTTACATCCTAGAGTCACAACAAATTTAATCGTCATCATTTTTTTTTCATTTTTTTTCAAAAAGAACAACTCTCTTGAGAACAAATAGCTAATTATTATTGCAAGAAATTGATGTAAAAAGGTGCTGTCAGATGTTAAGTTCCATTATTCTCAGTTCACTAAGTCTTGCATCTTATCTCAGAAGTTAGGCCATAGAGACTTTTAGAAAATTTTTAACAGTGTTGTTAAAAAAAAAAACATTTCATCTCTCATTCAGAGAACTGATCTTATAACCTCTCCCAAGGATAAGGCTGAACTATTTGCAAAGAACTTTTCTTCTAATTCGACTCTCAAATCTAATGGCCATTTTCTTTCTTTCATTCCAATTAAACAGGTTAATCAATTATAGACATTCAAATCACTCCAGCTTCCATCGCTAAAGCCATATCTTGATTAAACTCTTCTATGGCTTGTGGTCCAGACAACATTCCTTTTGGAATTGTACAAAATTATTCTTCAGAACTCTCTTCAATTTTCTCTAAAACTATTTAATAAGTGCTTGATTTAATCTTGTTTTCCTGCCTGCTAGAAAATGGAATCTGTTGTTCATATTTTAAAAAACTCTGGTGAACATTCTGACCCCTCCAATTATTGACTGATCAGTCTTTTTTCTGTTATTAGTAAGGTCTTTGAGTCTTTGATAAACAAATTTCTCACATCCCATCTTGAGTCAAATAACTTGCTGTCAGACTATCAATACGGTTTTCAATCCTTTCGCTCTATGCCAGACTTGCTAACTACTATGACTGAAAAACTCTTCTTTACGTCTACTTGGATTATCATTTACTACTGACTTTTCATGAAAACCATATATACAATCAAATTATCATCTGCTAAAGTTGCTTTTTTTAATTGTGCTTGCCATTACCTCTACAAATCTCTTATTCATCTCTGTATAGAATATTGTTGTCATATTTAGGCTGGTTCTTCTAATAATGCTCTTTCTCTTTTTGACAAGGTCCAAAAATGTATTGTAAGCATAGTTGGATCTGCTCTATCTGCTATGCTTGAACCTCTTTTCCATCATTGTAAAGTTGCATCTCTTTCTCTTTTCTGCAAATACTGTAATGGTAAATGCTCAAAGGAGCTATCATTTCTAGTCTCATCAACTAAATTTTTGCTTGACACGTCATTCAGCAAAGTCTCATTCTTTTACTGTATCTGTCCCTGCATGCTATAAAATAATTTATTCATCTAGTTTTTTTCCCTGCACTTCAATCCTTCGGAACTCTCTCCCATCTTCATGTTTTCTTGACTCATACAACTATCAAATTTTTAAGTTTTATTTAATATTTAAAATCTTATTTCTTCAACCGTTTTCTTACTTTATAACTCTATTCGTTTTTTTTAGTAACTCCCAACTTAATTGCTTGCAGCCTTGTTGGGAGTTAATTAGAATATATAAAAAAAAAGTTAATATATAAAGTTAATATATATAAAAAATTTAGTTAATATATAAAAAAAAAAGCAGTTTAAAATCTCAATAATCTTTTACATGTAAAAAGAAAAATCTTGAACAAACTTAAAATCGTTCAACTTATTTATAACAATAATACATATAATATTATGCATAAAATAACTTAAATCAGTAATACAAATATAATAACACAAAATAACTTTATTGTTATTATTATATATTGGCAGTTTCACTTGTTGTAACTGTGAGTTATAACAAGTGAAACTACCAATGACTGAAAACTTCAGGAGCCCGATTATAATACTGTTTACAATTAAAATACTATAGTGAAATAATATAATACACTTTTATGTATAATATTTCATAAACTAAGATAAATTAATAAACAAAAAAAGAAACAAAAAAGAAAAAAAGATATTTTCAATTTAAAAAAATATTTTTTATGTTTCTGTTTGAATGGTATTTAAGATATTTTATCAAACTTATGGTTCAGTTTACTTCGCTCAACAAAATTTAATTGAAATTTTTGTACAATTTCAATTTTTAACCTGTAAAAAACCTGCCTGCATTTGATAAAATATTCATCAATTTTTTTTTACACTTATTGTATCATACTTCATACATTCATCATGGCTTGATCAAATATATCGGTGCTGATCTTTTAAAAAGAATATATTACAAACACAAGATGGCGCTACGAGTATGTAAATAAACGTGCAAAAATAAAGTTTTATAATTATTTTGTTTAATCTTGAGAATCTATTTATAAAAAAATTGCAGAAATTGGTAAAGTTTCTCCTCCAATGTTCTAAAATTTTGTTATATTGGAGAAAACTAAACTTTGGAAAGACATAAATATTTTAATTGTTTTCAAGAAGATGGTGAATGTTTTGATGACTTCTTGACATAAGTAAAATTATTAGGTAATAACTGCAATTTTTTATGATCAAGAATCATGTCCAGCATGGGGTAAAAAATGTAGGGACCTACTGACTGGTGTCATCTGATTGTAAAAAGTCTAATGGACAACTTCTTAATATAAACTTCTTGTATCGATTTGATACAACTAAGTAAAGATACAAAACAAGAATTCTACGAGTTTATAAGTATAGATGGCCCTATTAGGAAAGGGGTGTAAATATATGGCTAAATTAGTTGCTAACTCAGGATTTTGGCAACTACCCATGGATTTGGAAAGTCAGTTGAAATGTATGTTTATTACACTCTTTGGTCGTTTTTGCCCAACAAGAGATCCATTTAGGTTAACGTCACTTCCAGAAATCTTTAGTAAAAAAATGATCATGTAAATAAAGGTCTTAAAGGAGTCGTAAAAAGTATGGATGATTTTTAGTTTTTTTTTTAACACAGAAAATGAAAATCTTGTTGCATTGCTAAGTAAATTTGCAGAACATGGAGTTACCCTTAATTTAGAAAATTGTGTATTTAATCAAAGTGAAGTGGAATTTTTAGGACATAAAATTTCAGCAGAGGGTGCGAAACCTCTAAGCAAAAAAGTTGAAGCAATACAAAATTTCCAGAGACCAACAAATATTACAGGTTCGCATAATTTCCTAGGTATGGCTCAACAGCTATTAAAGTTTAATCCATTACTCACTAAACTAGATCAACCTTTGCGAGATTTGTTAAGTTCAAAATCAGCATGGGTATGGACAGAAAATCATACTAAAACATTCAATGAGATGAAAAAAATTTGATAAATTGACCAATTTTAGCACACTATATGTGACATAACCAATAAAATTGAGAACAGAGGGATGTTTATTAAGCGGACATAGTGTGGTTGTTTATCAGAATCACAAGTGGGCATACAAACCAATTGAAAATTCTAAAAATTATTGTCCAACAAATTTTCCGCCTTATTGTAATTTTAAAGATGAAATAATTTGCATGAAAGTCATTTAGTAATGGAAAAGTGCTAATGTCATGCACGTCAGGCAGGTTTAAATAATCGAATCAAACAGTTAATTAAAAAGTGCGAAGCATGTATGAGGTATCTTCCATCATAACCAAAAAAATCCCTCATATGCGACCATGGCAAAAGGTTGGAACAAATTTGTTTCAGTCGACTAATAAAAATTACTTAATTATTGTTGATTATTATAACTTGTGGCCGGAAGTTTTTATGCTTTCAAATATTAACTCGGTAAATGTAATACAAGTATGCAAAGAATCATTTTTTATAAATGGTATCCGAGAGAAATTGGTTTCAGATAATGGTACACAATATACTTAAAAACTGTTTCATCAATTTTCTCAACAGTGGCATATTACGCACATAACATGTAGTCCGCACTACCCAAGATCAAATGACTTAGCTGAAGCTACTGTTAAATCAGTTAAACTTATGAAAATTAAAATTTTAAAGGTATTATAATAATGCGCAATACTCCAATAAAATGTGAATCTCCTGCAGAACTACTACATGGACAGCAACTAAAAGATAATACCTAGATTTTAAAATCAAAATAAGAAACTATAAAAAAAGATCTAGAGACATCGTTAAATAAAGAATTCAATCAAAACTACCATGATAAAAATATTCGTACTTTACCACCATACTTTTTCAAGCAAAGTCAAAATGTGGCAATTTACTTAGATAATACTTGTGTCAAATTTTTGATACATGTATCATGGCTTTATCAGATAAATTGATGCCAGTTTTTAAAAAAAGAATATATTATGAGCAAAACTCTTATATAAATATGAATACGTATATATATATATATATATATATATATATATATATATATATATATGTATATATATATATATATATATATATATATATATATATATATATATATATATATATATATATATATATATATATATATATATATATATATATAAAATATATATATATATATATATATATATATATATATATATATATATATATATATATATATATATATATATATATATATATATATACTTATATATTTATCACATTGTCGTAATGTTGCTTTTCTTTTTTTTTTTCACAAATACTATAATGAGTACTGCTCTAAAGAGCTATTGTCTCTTGTGCCATTTACTAAAATTTATTCTTGTGTTACTCATCATTCAATTTACACTCATCCTTTTTCTTTGACTATTCGTAAGTGCTCCAAAGACTTCTATTCCTTTAGCTTTTTTCCTTGAACATCAATACTTTGGAATTTGCTTCCTTCATCTTGCTTTTCTGATTCATATAACTTGCAATCTTTTAAGTTGTCTGTCAATCGTTATTTTGCTCTACAATCTTCATCTTTTCTCTTCCAGTAACTTCCAACAATGCTTCCAACTTGCAGCATTGTTGGAAGCGAAAATGTTTAATATATATATATATATATATATATATATATATATATATATATATATATATATATATATATATATATATATATATATATATATATATATATATATATATATATATTTAATTATATATATATATATATATATATATATATATATATATATATATATATATATATATATATATATATATATATATATATATATATATATTATATTTAAATATTTTTGTTTTTTTTAAATTTGCAAAAGTTTTTAACAATAAAATTCACAAAATATATTATATAGCATAAAAAAAAGATCATACTTAACTTTTTAACAGAGTTAAAACTTTTACCAGAGACAACTTGACCTGTGGACACAGTTTATATTATGTTTAAAAAGCCAGAGACAACTTGACCTGTGGACAGAGACAACTTGACCTGTGGTTTATATTATGTTTAAAAAACTTCTGATAATGTACACAAGACATTACCTATAAAATATATCAAACTGTTCTTAGGTTATTTAAACTATTTTTTTTAATTAAGGAACAGTATGATTCAAGATGAACCAGTTAGAAGTTTTGTTACTGAAAATGATACAAAATGCTGCAATCCAGACACTATTCTTAATGCATATGAAAATGCTGCAAGCGATCAATACCAAGCTGTAGACAATAAAATGAATAATCGTACAAAAGAAACATTTAAAGTATGTTTTTGATTTTTTTTTTTTTTTTTTGATAAATAAATGCATTTTCCCTGAAAGCAAAAGACATTTTAAGTCTAAAGATGCAAAACACCTGCTAAATAGATTTGATCTTGGATTTTAGGTCTTGGGTTGAATCAACTTTTTATTTACTTCATAAATGTGATGCCATCAAAAATTTTGAAAAATACTGGTTGATTCATTTTTTTTTTTTTTAATCTTTCTATAAATTTAGTCCTAGTCTAGTGGAATAATACAGCTATACAAAAATTAAAATCCAGTTGTGCTTCATCATTAGAGAGTTTAATTATTTTACATTTTTAATTATAATGGAAAAGCACTAACTGTTCTAATAATGGTCAAGTATTGACTTTTACTACCTTTTAACAAAAAAAAAATGCCGTACCAAACGTAAAATCCAGTCAGCTAAAATAAAAATAAAAAGGGAATGATAAAGTGTACCGAAGAAGTATTGAAAAGTGTCAAATAACTCATATAGAGAGTTTGCTAAAAGTTTTATTAAGGTAAAGCTGAACAATTGCTCCAAAAACGCTTAGCAATAGCAGTAGCTTTTTTTATTCACCCAGCTTATTATATCCAGTATATTATCATATTACAGAGCAAGTCTGCAAAGTATAAAATCAAATAATACAAATCTTTTAAGATCTTATTTTGGTAAAGATCTAAAAGCATATCTTGACAGAGGAATTTTATTTTTAAAAGAGTGCAGACTGAAGGCACTGTCATTAAACTTTTAGGGTTAGTGCTAATGCTTAATCAAATAAATTACGGTAAACTGTTGTTTTAGACACAACAGCATGTTTAACTGGGCTGTGGTTAATCTCCACAATCCCACTTCCTGATAGTCTATATAAAAATTTATAAAGTTTTTTTATAAATGTTCATTTATAAAAAACTTTATAAATGTTCATATAGATTATCAGGAAGTGGGATTGTGGAGAGTAACCGCAGTCCAGTTAGGCACCATTTTTTTACATAAATTCAAAATCTAAATTTATATCTGCATTGTCCATCAATAGTGTTAGTAGGTGGGCCATGGTCTTTGTCATAGTAACAGATTTTTTTCTGTAAACAAAATCAAAGTAAATAGAAACAAAATCAATAATTTTAACAACTCAGTTAATAATTAAGTTAATAATTTTAATAATTAACTCAGCTAATAATTCAGTTAATAATTTTAATAATTGACTCAGTTAATAATTTCAACAACTTTTACCAAGCTATAGTAGCTGTTTCTCAGATATAACACAAACTAAAGGGCTGTCCATTAATTACGTCAACAATTTTTTACCTCCCCCTCCTCCCCCTTATCAACAATTTGTCAAACTTTCAGAGACTCCCTTATAAAATTACGTCAACATTTTATTAATATCTTTCAATCAGTTCAATTCAGTCAGTCAAAAGCTACTCTTTTCATTAGTCACATAATTTTTACTCTTTTTATTTTTACATACTGTTTTATAGTTTTCTAAATTTGGAAATAATAAAAATAAATGGCCGACTTCATACCGGACTCAAGTGCTAGCATTGTGGAAACGATCTTTTCTTCAAGCTAAAGCTGATGTTTTTAATGCAGTATATTTTACCCAGGTTAGTTTTATAATTGTTTTATTTATTTGAATAAAATTTTTATGTAAGTACTCATTCATACAGTCCCTTTTTTCAAATTATTAGAAGCGTTTTGAGATTTTATGTTAATTCTTAGCTATAAGATGATGCTATGTATTGATTGTTTTTACTAAATAAAAACTATATATTTATTTTATAAACCACATTAACTTTTGAAAAAAATTTAAACTAATGCAATCCAATGTTAATAATTTGTTGAGCCATCTTTAGCCAAAATTACAGCACACACAATTACTTTAATTTTATGTAGGATGCTATCAAAACTGCACTGTCTTCTGCATTTGAGGATGATTATTCCACACATGAGCAATCTTTTCTAAGAATTATGTTTTGTTTGTGTGATTTTCTAAAAATTTTGTTTTGTGTGATTTTCAGACAACATTTTAATACTCATCCAAATCTGATTTTTCAGGATTTTGCATGTACATTTTCAGGACTTGATTTTGCATGTACAACAGCAACTTCTGATAGCTCTCCAGTTGAATGGGTTTTAGCCAATCTAAAGTAATATAACAGTTATTGAATAGTTTCCATTATGATAATGCAAGTTTTCATTAGGGTTAATCAACTCATTTATTTATGTGTTATAAATTATTCGGAAAATTGTTTAAATGACACAAGTTTCACACTTGTGTCATTTAAACAATTTTCCTTAGTACCATTTCTTTATTAAAATGATGCTATGAAATATGTGAAGCAAACTTTTACAAATTGCCCTTCCAACCTTAAACATAACATGACTTAACTAACATAACAGGACTTTAAATAAAACATAACTTATAATAAAAGAACTGAGTATTTTTACCATTAAGCTATCACCAGGAAGATTACTATAGAGGGTTTAAAAGCTCCTTCTGCCTTTAACCACATTTAAGCGGGGATCTTCTATTACATTTTTTTTCTCTTATTTAATTTGCCATTACTATGGCTAAAGAGCCTCACCTGCCTTATCTATATTTTTATTACAAACTTTCCTACTTTTTGTTCTTAATAAATACTCTGTCCATTTTTTTCTGGTCTTCTGGCTTTTAAAGGTTTATTTTGGAACAACTTGTCTTTTAACCAGGGTACTTCTTGTTTAGTTAGTCTTGCAATATAGTTATGCTTTGTATACCTTACTCTAAATTTCAGAAAAAAAGTTTAATTTTTTCAGAGAGATCCACGTCAGACAGCTCTTTATTGACGATCTTTTTTTTTTTGGCTTCAGCTTCTTAAACAGCTTGCAAATTCACATGATTAATACCAACTTCTTCAAATATGTTTAAAAGTTCTAATTTTTTTATGTTAAATCAACAACATAGAAAACACTTAAATAATCTTGCAAACAAAGTCTTTCACACTTTACAATAAATATTTTCCAAAAATAAATCAATTTCAACTTCCTTTACAGGAAAGGATAATTTTTTTTGAGTTAAAATAAGATTGATAAAAAAAAATTGCTTTCTATTAAAATAAAAATCGGAAAAAAACTTTGGCCACTTTTTTGCGATTTAGACAGTGCAACAGTGAGATATTTTACTCATTGTCAAAAAGCTAAAGCAGACCTGGCAAATAAAGAAAAAAAAAATGAACATCCTAAACATGTGTGCTGTTCTTTCTTTATTTTATAGAAAATAACATTTAATTTATCATTGATGAAATAGTACCAAATTACTTATCTTAAGAAATTCACATCTTTATTGTGCCACTGTTTGACCCACTTCAGATGCTTTACTTTTATTGCAGCTGTTGGTTTTGATTTTCTAGCAGGCTGGCAGACCTTGAAACATAAACTCTTTAATTTTCTTCGATTAGTATGCATAACATTTATAATAGCATCTTGGTATTGCAGTTTTATCAGTTTTGTGGTAGCTTATCTTTTTCCAAATTTTCTTTAAACATTTTTCTGCTATGGAGAAAAAATACTTTCTGCAGCATCTATTTTTTCAATTTAGGTTCAATTTTTCCCCTAACTCTATTTTCTTCTTTATTTATTTTATGCTACTTTAGAAACTTTCAATCTTCGTAGCAATATGCGATTTGAAAATCATTTAGTATTAAAAATGCCATTTATTTATATGGTAAAGGATTGCCTATTTATCTGTAATAAAAATGTTTCAATTTATTATTTAAACACTGCAGGCAAAACAAATAGCTGTTTGTTATTTCTTCAACTTCATGGACAAATCTGGATTTTTGATTGCTTTAGCAGAAGCCGCTAACAAGAGCTTTACAATATGAATAGTTTTTGAAAAATTAGACGAAACTTGCTTTTTAGTATGATGCACTTTCTCATCCCAACATTTGCAGTTTGGACCTTTATAAAAGAAATTTATTCTAAATAGTATTTATAAATTAATAACATATAATTATAAGTAATCTATTTATATATAATGACAGCATTTATAAATAAATGACATTTATATATAAACACTATTCATTGATAAAAAAATATTAGTTTATTAAAACAAAAAACCTCTTGTTTTTTTGTTTGAGTCATCAAAAGAACCTGATCTACTGCTACAAATAGATGAAGAAGGATGGATAGCACTGTTTCTTGCAGTAGCACTGTTTCTTGTTGATTAAAAAACCCTTTAGTCAATTGAATTCGCACTTTAAAAAACGGTATTTGCAACGTTTGTTTTTTATCATATTCAATTTGCATTGGTTAAGGAAAGTAAAAAGACGTATTTTGAAAAGTTGATTTTATATTAAGTTAAGATCATAATTAAACTTTTGTTTTTCTGTTCTGTAAAGTTCTGTATTTTTCAGCAATAACACTTCATGACAAGTTTATATCTTTTTTTATATGTTCAAATATTTTTAAGCTAGTCAGTTTTACTAATATTTCTAAAAACGTGTATATCTGGTTAAAATAAAAAATTCATTTCTATTGAAATAAAAGCGATTTGAAAACCGCCAAATGCGTCAACAGTTCTCGACTTTAAAATAGATAAAAATTATGAAAAAATGTCTTTTTACCAAAACAAAACAAAAAACTTATACCAAAAAAGTAAATTTAACTAGTCAAAGTGACGTGAAAGAAGAAAAATGTGGTTGAAAAAGAAGAGAGTGATAATGAAGAAGATACAGATAAGGAAGGAGCATACAAAGAAGAAGAGATCAATAAGGAAAAAGAGGCAGATGAAAAAAAAAGAGCTTTAAGTGGATTATTACAAGACTTGAAAAATAGTGATGTTGGTTTGCCTGAGTACTAGTATGAATAATATTAATAAACTAACATAGTAATTTTAAATAGATTAATATTTTGAAAAATGTTATTTTTATATAAATTTATAAATAATATTTTTGTCTTTGTACCATAATCTTATTCATATTATATTTTTTTGTATAACTGATTAAAATAGAAAATTTGTTTCTATGGAAATAAATAAATCGATTCCAATAATACTCAAAAATTTGTTGTTAAACATTGACAAATGCATCAAAAGTAATCGACTTTAAAATAGTTATAAAAACTAAAAAACTTAATAGTTTGAACTGAAATTTTTAAAGAGTGTCATATACCATTTGCAGTATAGGAAAATAAAATAAAAAATGTTTCTACCCTTTGCGCGGTATAAATAAAATACTTAAAAAAATACCTTTTTTCAAAAAATTCACTATAAAAATAAGAACTTATGAAATCATTTAAAACAAAAAAGTAAATTTTTTTTCACCTACCAACATGACTTAATTATTGGTATTTATGAAAATTTTTAAATTTTTCACATTTATATATATTTTATACAAATTATAAACATTAAGAATATTAAGGCAAAAAAAAGGTTGCGTGTTAGTAGCTGAAAATTTATCAAAACGCATGATTATATGAAGCTAAACTTGTTTATGAGGTATTACTATAACTAGAACTTAATAAAGATTGAGTTAGATAAGCTTGAGAAGAATGTCTTTTAAACGAACAGCGAACTCAAAAAACAAAAAACTGCATTTTTTTTTTCAAAGTAATTTTTTAAAGTTTTTTTTCACTTTAAGTAAGTGAAATCTTTTTGACATAGAAGTTAAGATATCTTAAAGATACTTACAAAAAAAAATTTATTTTATGAACAATTAAAATAGAAAAGATATTGAAATTCTAAATTTTTTATTTATTTTTACTTTAACTCACCTCCTCAAGGCCGAGAAGGTCACTACAGACGAGGAGGCTACTTATTTGTGGTTATAACCCTCTCTCAGCTCTATAACTCCGAAACACGAACCTTGACGAACAAGACCGCTGCGCGGAGAAACGAGTTGAGCGCGGTACTACCAGGGACGTGGTGGGGATCAAACTCAGAACCACTCGTTTATGAAGTGAACGCTCTACCACTACACCACTACCGCATTACTTATGCATTTTTTTCATAAAAATTTATTACAAAAATGACGTCTTTTAAACCTGTGTAGAGGTCCCAAACGTAAATAATAAACCTATATATTTTTAGATAATATAAGCAGTATAATATATTAGAAAAAATTAAAAATTAATTTATGTTTTAAAAAATTTTGAATTATGGCCAATTTTTTGAGGTTTTGCACCACTGTGCGATGTAGAGAAATGTTAGAATAACCTGCTGCTTTTCTATTATTTCTACTTTATTTTATAAAGTATTCAGTTTTTTAATTTATATATTTTTTGCATGATAGATTGTAATAGTGTAAAAACATAACATTCTCCAATAAATAAGTTTTTCAATTTTCACTTTTCAAATTTTCAATTTTCAAATTTTCAATTTTCAATTTTCAGCTCAATTTGTTCTTTTAATATAGATGTTAATTTTTTCTTAATTTCATCTACAATACAAAACTGTGTATAGCGAAATATTTTTAGTAGGATGCAAAAACCATTTTATTGATACATTACTACTCAAGTCAAGTGGTTGTAAATAAGATAAACCATAAACACAATTAATATTATCTTTAATTAATAGTTCTAGTATATTTACTCATTTTGTTTATATAAATAACACATTGTTCAAAAACAAAGTTAATAAATTAGTCCAAAAAAACTAGGGAGCAACGATGTATTGTTTAATATTGTTAAATACGAGTTGTTCAATGCGTCAAACACAATTAATCGTAGTCAATGCATAAACAACTCATATTTTACAATGATTTTTATTTTACTATTCAATCTGTCATTTTTTTATACCAACTAAACGTCAATATGAACATCCATTAGATGTATACTATGTTTCAGTTATAGCAAAATAGATGTATACCATGTTTCATTTAGAGAAAACATCCGGTATTTATATCAGTTATGACTTTAAGTTATTTTCATTATTGTTATCATTATTATTATTGCTATTGATATATATTTTTATGCTTAAAACACATTTAATTTTTAAGGCAGTTTTAGTTTCTTTAATTGGTGGATTAATATGGTTTAACACTCCTTTTGATACAAATTCGAGGGTTGATCGCGAGGGATCGGTATGCATTTTGTATTAATATAAATACATTATATTTTTTCCTTTTATTAAACTTTTTTTTTGTTAGTTATTTTTGCACTTTTTGCAATTTTATTTAAAAGACTGACATGTATTTATTACATCTTATGTATTTGTATTTTAGATCTTTTTTGTTATGAGTTATTTGTTTATTGATCTGGTATTCGATACGATATTTTCATGTAAGGAGATTTATAAATTTATTTTTAATATGGTTCGCATCATGAATGCTCTTAATCAATGATTTTTGTCTGGGTTTTTTTTTGACCTCTAATAAAATTCTTCCTATCATATTTTTATCATGTGAAGTAATTCTATTTCGTTTTTAACAAAACAAAACATTGTTGAATATAAAAAAAATTTTTAAACTTTTTTAATATGAATTTGAATTTGTTTATTCATAAATCAAAAACTTACAAGTCATTTAAAAAAAAAAATTAAAGAATAAAGTTTGAAGTGGTGCAGCATCAGGCACCACTATGATGAGGTAATTTGGGACACACTGTATATCCTGGTTAGCTTTGAAAATGCATCAAATCGACTTTTAAATATGTTCATAGAACTTGCATTGACTACATTTGCTGGTAGCCCATTCCAGTTAACAACTCGATTAGTAAAATAATTGTCTCGTTCTTGGCAAGGTTTTACATTTTGCCATGATAATCGTTGATTATGTCTACGCAAATTATATTCTGATAGCGATTGGGCATATACTTGAGGAACTACAAAGTCTATTTTTGCTATTTCGTTAGTGATTTTATACTGTTGAATGAGGTTGCCCCTTTTTTAGCGCTCTTCTAGAGTGGTAAGATTGAGTATGGCCAGTCTTTCCTCATAGCTTTTGTGTTTTATCTCGCTTATCACCTTTATTATTTGCTGTTGAATGCATTCAAGTGCTTTTATGTCACTTTTTAGATGAGGAGACCAGACTTGGATGGCATACTCAAGATGAGGTCTAATGTATGTTGTGTAGAGTACCCTCCATAACATTAGCCCTCTTGTGCGAAAAGGCTTTTTTTAGTTTGCCAAGTTTTTTTTTTTTTTTTTTTTTTAACATTTTCACTTCCAACAAGGCTGCAAGCAACCACTATAAGAGTTGGAAGTTACTGGAAGAGAAAAGACTAAATCTGTAGAGCAAGATAACGATTGACTGATGACTTAAAAGATTGCAAATTATATGAATCAGGAAAGCAAGATGAAGGAAGCGAATTCCAAAGAACTGATGTTCGAGGAAAAAAACTAGAAGAATAAGAGTTTTTGAAGCACTTAGGAACAGTCACAGAAAAAGGATGAGACTTAATTGAATGGCGAGTAACACGAGAATGAATTTTAGTAGATGGCACAAGGGACGCTAGCTCTTTAGAGCAGTGCCCATTATAGTATTTGTAGAAAAGAGAAAGAGAAGCAACATTACGACGATGTGACAGAGGTTGAAGGTTGGCTGCCAGAGCAGGTCCAACTATGTTTACAATTCGTTTTTGCACCTTGTCTAAAAGAGAAAGAGCATCATTAGAAGATCCGCCCCAGATATGGCAACAGTATTCCATACAGGGACGGATTTGAGATTTATAGAGATAGAGAATAGAATCTGAAGTAAGAAAGTGTCGAGCTCGATAAAGAGATGCAACCTTAGCAGATGCTAATTTTGCAATGGATTTGATATACGGTTTAAAAGAAAGATCAGAAGTAAGAGTTAATCCTAGAAGATGAATGGTAGATGACTCATCTAGTACATTACCATTCATAAATATAGGAAGATCTAAATTATTACGATAACGATTGGCCGAATAAAATTGAGTTTTATCTGAATTAAAGTTCACCAGCCACTGTGAGCCCCATGCTGTAGCAGAAGTGAGATCCTTTTCAAGCTCAGATACCCCCTCCAAGCAATCAGAGAGTGTAGGCTTCTTATCATGACAAGAGTAAATGGTAGTGTCGTCAGCGAATAATGCCACCTTAGATGTGAGAATATCTGGAAGATCGTTAATGTAAATTAAAAAGAGTATAGGGCCAAGGATTTAACCTTGAGGAACCCCTGAAGTTACAGGATGTGAAGAAGAGTGTTGTCCATCGAGGACAACTTTTATACTACGATTGGAAAGAAAGGACTCAATAATCTTAAAGACGTTACCAGCTACACCATAAGAAGAAAGCTTATGGAGAAGACCAGCATGCCAAACTTTATCAAAAGCTTTAGAAATGTCAAGTGCGATAGCCTTAACCTCTCCACCTCTATCTAATGCACGGTAAAACCTATCGGTTATTACTGTTAGCACATCAGCTGTAGAACGAGAAGACCGAAATCCATATTGATGGTCAGAAAGTAAGTTATTTGATTCAAGATGAGAGATTAAGTGTTTGTTAATTAAAGATTCAAAAACCTTGCTTATGACAGGAAGAAGACTAATGGGACGGTAGTTAGTTGAATCAGATCGCTCTCCGGAATTTTTGAAAATAGGGATAACAGATGCTGCTTTCCAGCATGATGGAAAACAAGACTCTGATAAGCACTTGTTAAATAGTTTAGAAAGTATGGATGAAAGCTCCGGAGAGCACCTCTGCAAAACTACAACAGGAATGTTGTCAGGACCACAAGCTGTTGAAGAGTCTAAGCAGGAAATTACTTTAGATACAGAAGCTGAAGTGATGCGAATGTCAAGCAAGGGATCAACCTGTTTGACAGCTATGTCAGGTAAAACGCAACTAGTGGAATCAAGAGATGGTATTGATGAAAAGTTCTTAGCAAACAATTCAGCTTTGTCTTTAGGTGAGGTGACAAAGTCTGAACCATACAAGAGAGAAGGAATAACAGATTTGCCCTTATTATTGATACTGTTAAAGATTCTCCAGAAGTCTCGAGAGCCTAATTTTTGTGATGAGATACGAGATTTAATGACCTGGGAATAGCGAGTTTTGGCGTCAGACAAAACCTTTTTACAATGGTTTCTGGCGATAGTGAACAGATGTCTGTTTTCTGGAGAATTGTTTTGCTGATAGATATGGAAGTAACGGTTTCGATTAGAAATTGCTGCAGCGCAATGTGAGGAAAACCAAGGAGAAGAGTGAGGCTTAACCTGGAATCGTCGAGAGGGAGTAAAAGATTCCATGCCAGCCTGAATCCACGAAGTTATGTAAGAAGCACATTTGTCAGCAGGAAGACGAAAGATTTCTACCCAAGGGCCATCACGAAGAAAATCACGGAAAGAGTCCCAGTCAGCTTTAAGGTAGTTGTATGTGGTACGATGATAGGGGGATTCTGATGAAGTAGAAGAATTTGATAATAGTTTTAGAGAGATCAAACCGTGATCAGAAGTACCTAAGGGTGAATGTGGAGAAATTGAGCACTGACTAGGATCCAAAACAAGACATAAGTCGAGTAGAGAAGGTAAATGATTAGGGTTGTCTGGAAAACGAGTTGGAAAGTTGACTATTTGAGTTAGAGATTGAGAAAGGCAAAAGTTGAGGGCCTTAACGCCAGCAGAGTCACTGACACTAGAGCCAAGCCAATCGGTGTGATGGGCATTAAAGTCACCAACAACGACGATATTGGCCGATGGATAAAGAGAGAGGGCTTGGTCAATTTGATCAGAAATAACATCAAGAATAGTGCAATCTTGGGATGAAGGAGAGCGATATAGAACAAAGAGAAAGGCGATAGAGTGAAGTTGTGCTAAACGAAAGCACATAAATGAATAGTCTGTAGATTCAAACCTAGTTTCACGACAAATGGGTGAGTTCTTACGAATGTAGATGCCCAGGCCAAGCATGTGATTATTGGAGTCTTTACGAATTAAAGGAAGATAACCATCAACACTAAGATCACAAGATGGGACAGCCGAACTTAAATTAGTCTCACAAAGAGCAAGTAGGTCTGGTGAACTTTGCAAGAGATAAGACTCAACAGAAGAAAAGTTACTTCGAAGACCACGAATATTAGTAAATGATAGGTTTAGAGAACTTGGTGATGACAATGGTTTTTTGTGTTTTTTAGTTTTAGGTACTTTAGTCATTTTAAATTTATAAAGAACTTGACTCAAGTATAGATAGTACTCAGTACACTATTTAACAACTAAGCAATAGCCTCATTACTCTTAATAAACCCTAAGCCGTAACAAAGGGCTCCAAATGTGGCCTCTGCAATGCACACCAAAAGTACAAACAGGGACACCATCCATGCGCAACATGGCACTGTTAGTACTCTGATATTTTTCGGCTGTTGATGGAATCAGCCTCTCTGAGAGCTACCACAGAGTTCGGGAAACCTGACTACCAGCCGGCCTCAGAACCATAAAACTGAGTTTTAGAGCTGTACCCTCATTAGGAGATAATAGAATGAGTTGCCCAGTCATAAAAATAGAGACACAAGCAATACCCACGCATTGAGTCAAGAAGATCCAGCGTTCAACATCCTAAACTGGAAACAATGTATTAAGAATACATCTGCGCCAGCCTAATAGATGAGGAAGGCGCCAGCCTAATAGATGAGGAAGTACTTGGTTTGCTCTAGCTGCTGCAACTTCTACTTGATGCTTAACTTTGAGGTTGTTTGATGTCAGAACACCTAAGTCGCGTTTAATAATTGTTGTTCCAAGTTCTATTTGATTACCATATATGTCAAGCATTGAGTAAAGGCGTACTGATTTATTTGAGTGACCAACATGCATGACTTTACAATTGTCTAGATTGAAATACTTAAAGCCACTTTTTAGACCATTCGACTGCATGATCTATGTCTTGTTGTAGTTTTATTGCATCATCTTCTGCTTTGATTACCCCTAAAATCTTACAAACATCTGTGTAGATCTTTATATGATGCACCATGTTGTCTGGAAGGTCGTTTATATAAATCAGAAACAAAAGTGGACTTAACACTGAACCTTGTGAAACACCACTAGTAACATCTACCCATTTAGACTTGCTATTGCTGATGACGACTCTCTGTTTTCAATTTTTTAACCAGTCAGTTATCCACTCCAATAGTTTTCCATGTATGCCATATGCATCAAGTTTTAAAAGAAGAGGTTGATGAGATACTTTATCAAAAGCTTTAGCAAAGTCTGTGTAAATCACATCTATGGAATGATTATGAATTAGTGCTTTTGTTAAAATGTCCTGTGTCTCTAGTAGGTTGGTTGTACAGCCGCATCTTGGAAGAAATCCAAGTTGAGATTTTGTAAAGAGCCCTTTTTCAAGGCAATGTTTCAGGATTTTTTTTTGTATAAAACTTTCCATTATTTTACAGGGTACCGATGTGAGAGAAACTGGTCTGTAGTTCAAGCATTTTCTATGGCTTCCATTTTTTAAAATCGGAATTAGATAATTTTTGATAACGTTTGATAACTTTCAAAAGTTAGGAACTTTGTCTTCAGCAATTTTTAAAAAATCCCTGCCTTCAGCAGGGATTTTTTGAAAATCATAGCTAGTGGCTTAGCTATTGCAGTAGCATAGTGTCAAAGAACACGCGGGTGTATGTTATCGCAGCCTTTTGACTTTGTTTCGATGAGCTCTTCTAGCTTTTTCTGAACAGTTATAGTTGTTAGTTCTGCTTCATCCAGGACACATTCCGTTTCTGTTCGGTTCTGAAATTTTAGCATCTGATGTAACGGTTCATCAACAAATAAGACTGAAAATATACGTTAGGTAAATGAGAAATTTTATGACTATCAGTTGTAAGATTTCCATCGTTGTCTTCTAGTGATTTCACCATTTCATTCGCTATTTTCTTCTGCTTGAACGATGTTTTAGTTGAAGGCATGTAAAGGGTGACTGCCTTGTTAATTTTTTCAACGAACATCTGATAATTGTCATTTACTGAATAGGAATTGAAAATTGTCACCCAGTCATATGATGTGATTAGCGTTGAGATTGCTTCATAATTAGTTTTGCTCCAGATTAATCTTTTTTAACACAAGCGTTGTTTATAGCAAATGAGCCAATAAGTAGGCAGTGGGGTCCCCCAGCTGGTGTGTAACCAAGTGAGTTGCTTTCATGTAGATTATTTATGCGTTCAGGTTCATCAGTGATTAATAAATCTAGTGCGCTTGATGGTCTTTCTTTTCTATTTCTGCGGTGAGTGTGGAAAGTGACCATTTGCATAAGAAAGTATATGTGCAACTGTTGCTGCGCTTCCATCAGTTTCAAGTACCTCATATGTTGTGTGACTGAAGTTGAAATCACCGTAAATTAGGACAGACAAACAACCTAGTATTGACAAGCTCTGCTTTGCTGAATCAACTGATTTGATGAGTCCAATATCATTATCGTTTGGTCGGTGTATGCAGCCTATTAAGATAGATTCATCGTTTCCTCGGTTTTTGTTATGGAGTTGGTAACCGGGTAGTTGAGTGTTTGACATTTGATCAAACTAGGTCTCAGTGAAGAAAAGCAATTGAGGTTTTTTTTCTACTATCTCATTCTCAATTCTTGCAACTAGTTCATCTTTTTTCGCTTTTAGCGAACGAGGATTATTTTCCGAGAAAATAAGTCGTTTATGGGGATTGTTATATATTTTTTTAATTTTGTTTGATTTCAGATGATTTAGTTGGTTTAAGCGTGGCTGGTTTGATTTACAGGCAACCAACAATGGTTTTGGTCGGCGTAGTGGTAATTTAGTTTGCGGAAAAGACAATGGTTGTGGAAAAGAGTTAAGGATTGTTTTTATTGACTCTGGCCTCTGCTGTTTTGATTTGATCTGATTGCTCTTTGCTAATCCAAACACACTTTTTATTATTGGCAGATTGGACTGTGTCTATGCAGCGCACAGATCCAGTCCGTCTGTGGATGATCCTACGAAAGGGTTCGTTCAGACTAGCTTTCATAATATCTTAATTCTTTCGCTTCTTTTTGTTGTTTAGTTTATTGAAAGCTTCTTGCTCTGAAGCTGTTCGCTCCTCTCGAGTGTTTACTCCTCTGAACGCTTCTTCTTTGTGGAAGTTGCCTTTTGCTAAGGCGTCTCGTTGTGCCTCTATCGATTTGAGCACAACTTGTATTACACCAATTGGATCTTGCTTATCCTTGCATATTCTTGAGATTGCTAGGTTGTTTGTTTCTTATTTTGTAACGACGAACGTGAACAATTACCTCATGGTTTACTTCAATTGCTTCAAAAAACTCTTTTACAAGATCTTCATCGCTTCTATTTTTAGACTCTTTAAGACCAACGACTATTATATTTGACTCCTTTTTTCTAGTTTTTATTTCCGTTGCTGCAAAGTTAACATAAGTGTTGTGCTTTGCTATATCGAGATGAGACTGCTTAGCTGCTGTTGTTGGTTTGTTATTTACTCCATTGATTTTGTCTCGAAGATCATTGATCTCTTTGTCATGCTAATGTTTGATTTGGGTTACAACCACCATTAAAGTAATTTTGATCATACCAACAACTTTACTTTTGTATTTTTTATCAAATGCACCGTTATTGATAGTTACTCCTACTTTAGCCTGCTCTAGGGCCTCGTTGATAATATCTTCAATAGATTTTTCCTCGATTGTACTCACATTGATTGTTGTAGTTGATTTGCAATTGTGTACACCAATTCAAATCTTTTGTAGGAGGGCTACCACTCTACAGCAGTGGGTTACTTCCGGGATGTGAAATATTTCAATATATTTAATATTAATTTAACCTCATTACACAGGGACTAAAAAGTTTCAGTATGTGTTTTTTTCCATATAGAAGAACAAGTTTCAGTTAGGTATTAATTTTAGCTAAAACCGTTGGTTACAATTTCACATAAAGGAAAGGAAAAATTCTGGTATAAGTTCTCCAGAATATATATTTTATTGCTAAATAAAAAGTATATATTTTACTAAAATTTTTTTTACATATATTGTATTGTAGTTTTTTTTTTTTTTCGTGTTTAGTTCCCTATGAGGATAAAATCATTGCAAAAGAGAGAGCAGCCGGAATGTACCGTTTATCTGCGTTTTACACCGTAAAAAATGTTGTTGATTTATCGGTTTTAATCATACCTCAATCAATGGTATACACAATAACATACTGGATGACAGGATTGAATCGTTCTCCAATTTTTCTTCTTGGTCTATTAAATGTGTTTTTAATTACGGCTTTGTCTCAGGTATTAGATGGTAAATTATAAGTAATATTGCCGTAAAAATTATAAAATTTTTATTTGCATGTTTTTAATTTTTTGTAGTCTGTGGGACTTATTGTTGGCGGCAGTGTTAAAAATCTCCAAAAATGCATTCTTTGCGTTGTAATAATTAGCATTGGCGGTTTAGCATTAGGTGGTTTTTACATAAGGAGGATGCCTCCATGGCTTTCATGGAGCAAATATGTTTCGGTTTACACCTACTTTTACAATGTTTTTATTAGAATGGAGTTTGAATACGCACAGGAAGTTTTTGAGTATTCATTTTTTTTAATTCAAAATATTTTTTGTTTTATACGTGAAATCTGGTTTATATTATTTTTAGTTTGTTATCAAAATTTTTTTATCTTTATTCACATTAATGTTGATATATATTTTGAACATTATATATTGCTTTAATTTTTTTTTTCAGATGTTCAGCAAAATCTGCTTACCGTGAATGCTTTTCCAATAACCAAAGCAGAATTACTGGGCCAGAATTATTGTCTTACATGGATCCTATTCCTTTAAATATTTCACAAACAATAGCTTTTTTAGTGCTTTTGACCTTTGTTCTTCGGGTTGTATTTTATTATGTGCTTAAATATTGCTGTAAAATAAAGTAACTATATCGACAAAAGCTTCTAAAACAAATTGTTTTTTGAGTTTTTTTCTAAAAGCAAAAACTTATAACGCTAAAAAGATTGCTTTATAAAAGCTAGATGGAATAAAGTTAGTTCAAAGAAAATATTTTCTCAATAATAATCCATTTTTCATAACAATTTGATGTGTTGATTATGCAGTTAAAGTTGGGTGAAAATGTAATTTTATTTATGAAAAAGTTAAAAAATATATATTATTTATCAAAATTTTGAAAAAATAATGGTTTTTGTAACTTATATTTTTTGCTTTAAAAGTTATACTTTATAAGGTAAGTTCTTTTTAAAACTTATTTAATCAAGAATCTTTTTTGAATAAAAATAAATGTTGGTTACTGGGAGAACCCTGTACTTTTTCGTCATCTAGTTAATGTCGAGGGTGGCTTTAAAAAGATCTTTAAAAACTCATCTTTTAAAACCAAAAAACATAAAGTTAAAACACTTTGTAAAATCAAGAAATGCCATTGAGTTGACCACAGTTGCTGAAGTAGAAAATTGTTTTTTGGTTAACAGAAGCTAAGCTACGCTTAGACATTTTTGATTACAAACTCAGATGCTATTTATGCGTTTTCGCGTGTACTTTCTTTTGTTCCATTGAGAGTGGCTGTCAAAATATTATATAATTTATTTTGGACCCAACCCCGTCCGAATTCCAAAACCCTATTTCCTAGAACAACGTCTCCTCACATGGTCATAAATATTAAACGAAAAAAAAAAATTTTTTTTGTAAAAGATTTATGACTATTTATGGCGTCAAAGTTTTATAAATTTATTATGAACCGCCTTTTCTTTTGGAACTGTGTTAAGTGGATCTGTTTTTAGCAATATTTTGATACGTCCAACTTGTTTGCACTAGGAATATGTAAACGGTTTCCTTTTAATTTGAGACAGAGTTGTTAACATAGCCAAGGCCACACGTTTATAAAGCCAAGACCAAAGCCAGAAGTTACAAGGCCAAGCCCAAGAGTTTTAAAGTCAAGGCCAAGACCTACGCAAACATTTTCAAGACCATACACTTCAAGTTTTACTTTACATTAAGGCCAATTATTAACAAAACTGTAGCAAGTGCTGTAACAATAAAACCACATTTTGTAAAAATAGACCAAGGTTATGAGCAAAATTCAACAAAATCAATAAAAAAATTTATTTTTTCAAGACCAAGGGCTAAATTTTTGGTCTTAAGGCCAGGCCAACGACTAACAACACTTACTTGAGACAAAAGCATGGAAAAATTAAAATCGCTGCTGTTTCTTGAACTAATCCTGGAAGTGTTTTGCAAAATGGTTGGCTTCATTTTGCTGCTTTTACCTAGAAATTAAAAATAATTCATATTAAGTAATGAGGTTTTTGTTGATTCCGCTCAAGTAAGATTTAGATAATTTTGGCAATATTCCTATTATAGTTCTATACATAAACACTAAAATTTGATACAAATTTATTTTATAAATCATAAAAACTCAAAGTACACAGTGATGCTTAAAACGTATTAACAGTTTACAATTATGACTGGTCAATTTTTTTGATGTTGGGTGAAAATACACTGATAATTTGAAATCCAGTAAATATTTTTGTTCGTGTAAATATCAGTGCTGAAAATTTTTGCTTGCAAATCATTAAAAAATTCTTTAGAGAAATTGCTAAACTTTTTCTCTTCATAAAACTGTTGAAGTAATTTGATCCAAATTTAACTTTGAGCTTTGAATGAGCAAATATCTGATTTAAAAAGAGGCTCTTTTTTGATACAAATAAGTTCGACCTAGTAACTGACACGTCCGTCAACAGCTGAAATATAATTAATATATTTGAACAACTAAACTAAACTTAGTCTAACTAAACTAAAATTAGATTCATTAAAAAAAACCCCATTTATCAAGTTAACAACAAGCGTAATCCCATAATTCACCCTTTCCATTTTCCATGAAATGGCAAATTTAATTCGTAACACCTTTTAAAAGAATCTTTATTAATAAAAATTCCTCTATCTTTTTTTGTATTTTTTAAAACGTTACCCTTATTTTTAAAATTTAATAATTTAAGAATAACCATTTTCCATTTACCCAAATATTTTTTTCAAATTAATGCGCTTGCTCACCCTATGTGCACTAGACTTCTGTCAAAAAACAACAACAACAACAAAAATTTACTCTCCAATCCAAATTAAAAGTCATTTAACCTAAGAAGACTGAACTTAAAGTTCATAGATAAATTTGAAATTTTGGATTTCTAGGATAAGTTTAATAGGATTTTATAAATTTTGTAAAAAATAAAAAATATTTTGAATTTCATCAGAAAAATAACTTTCTTTTCAGTCTTTTTATCTGGATATATCAAATACTAATCTCTAGTCATTTTTTATTGAATGTATCCCAGAATTAGCCACTGCCCAATTCTTTTTTACTGCCCAATTAAACTTTACATTGTATAAATATAGACTAGTTTTATTTTTCCAAATAAATAAAATATTGACTAAAATGAAATAAATTAAAAGAAAAAATTGTATTTGTTGCTCTCACATTCAAATGAGAACTCTTTATCTCTTAAAATACTGCGTCACTGGTATATCAAATAAAGAGCTTCTTGCCATTAGAAAAAGTTTAAAAATTCTAATGCTTTGTAATTTTACGTTAGAAAACTTCTCTACGAAAATTTTTTCTCTTTGATTTTAATTTATGAAACTCAAAAAATAATTTAAAAATCTCTAATAATAAAATGATTTTAGGTACCAGGTACTCCTTTAATTATACGTTATTTCAAACAAAATGGTAATTTATTAGAACAGAATAAATAAGTTGAAAGGCAAAAGATGAACGTTGTACATTGACACTTAACTTGTGACGAAAATTTATGAGGAGAATAACATCTCTGTTATATACTGGCAATAAGTGTATTAACTCTGAGTGCTCCGAATTTAAAAGACATTTAATTAGGTAATCACATAATTTAAAAATTCAAAAGGTTCAGGTAGTAAAGATTTTTTCAGGTTCAGGAGAGATTTTTAACATTTTTCAATACTATGAAAAATGTTAAAAATTAAATGTTATTTGTAGATTGTGTTTTTGAACTTAATTCAGATACAAAAAGTTACAAAACTGGTTGCAAGCATAGAGCAGTAGCAACTCTTAGCTAGACTCCACTAACCTTTGAGTTCTCTATAGGTAATATATATATGAAACCCACATATCACATTTTTTAGAGTTTTCTTTGGCGTTATTAGGGGTTAACAAAAATAAATTTATATTAATTTTAGGTCTGACCAGAGATCTTTAATGAGGTAAATAGGTTTGATAATGTATTTATCTTTGATTGGAGCACTCTAGTTTCTGGTTCAATTTTTATGTATAAGCAAAAAAACTTCTAACCTACTTGACTTGTGCACTTCATAATAAAACCTTTGCTAACGATGATTACCGCAAGTTATTCAAACTAAAAATATTCTTCCTTGTTAAGTTAGTGTAATCTTCCTTGATAAGTAAGTATATTATTTCTTGGCAGAGTTATTCTTAATTTTAGATTCCTGCACCCTGGTGCAATACATGAGGTAAGATTTATGGTTGATGCAATGTATACTTTAACAATTCATATGACCAAACCTTTTTGCTCTAGGAAGTATAATGGCTTTGAAAAGATTCTAATAAAAATCTTAAAATGTCAATATGGCATTAAGATGAACAAATAGTTGTTCTTGCATTTACAGACAAAGTTCTGCCTGATATCAATAAAGTAAAAATTACAAAAATTTGCTTATCAATGTTAAGGCAGAGATATTTAGACGTCCACAAAAGTTCCTATTACGGACAGTAATTTGACATTTCCAAACCTTGTTAGTTTGAAAAGCTGAATCTTTTTCACCATTGTCGGTGTTTCTGATGAAGATGTTAATCAATGGATTAAGGGAGATTCTGGCTGCTGGCATAATTCGGAGAGTTCATAAAAAAACATGCAAGTAACAAATGACTATTCCAAAAGAAATACTCTTCTCATTCAAGATTTCTTTGCAAATAAATTTGAAGACCAAAGGCAAATATGATACTTGTACAAGAGAGGAGAGAAAAAGGATGCCCGCCAACAGTGCAATAGCAAGTGGATTTGCCCCCACCCCCCCGAAAAAAACTAGCCATTTGGGCCCCAATTTTTTATTTATTATATCTAAAAAAGTGGATCAAATTTACAGATTACCCTGAAAAGCAGGGTAACTGACATTTTTTAAGGTCGCCGTTCATTAAGCTAAAAACAATCAAATTAATGCTTAAATTTAATTAAATATATTTTATAATTGTTAAATTGATATAGAGTTTACTAGTAAAGAGTTTTTTTAAATACTGTTAATGTATTACGCAAATAATACAAGTACGTCGCATCAAAAAAATGGTTTGCGACATGTTTTCATGCTTGCAAACTCATTTATTATGTCTTCATAACTTAATTTCTTTGCAACCTCAATTTCAATCGACAACGTTGCTAAAAAAAAGAAACGTTCATCGACCATTGTTGACCTATTTAAAGATACAAAGGAATATAGCTACATATAATATGTATAATGAAGCAAGATTATTTATACTAACTTATGAAAAGTTTTAATTAGTTTTAACTTGCTAAAGCTACGTTCTGCACTTGCAACAGTAACTGGTAATATAAGAATGATTCGTAACGCAACAACTAGATTCGGATAAGTTTCTTGCAGCTCTACTTTGAGAGGCATTTTTTTCCTCCTTGTTAACATGACAAATCGTTTTAACTCCATTCCTAACTCCACAAAATCTATATCATCAAGCTTCTTTTGCAAATTTTTGCAAAAATCAAGCTTTGTGACAATGCTAATCTGTTCAAAACGCTCTTTTACTGATGCAATTGACATATCAACTAATGGCAAAAAAAAAATCTGCTTTATACTGATATTCAGGTTACCGAGTGTGATCAACACGTGTCGTATGAATAAATCAATTTTTTTTTTCATACACGTATTATTGGAAAAACCTTTTCAATGCCCAATAGGGC